GGTAGTATCGTTTGTCACAGATGTCTCTCCTGCCTTAGGTGCCACATATTTCTTTTGTACAGCTGACTCACATCAGCAATTAAAGGTATTTAAAGGCAGAGAAAGGTGAGTAAGCTCTGGTGCCAGAGTGCCATGTGACGGGTTTTATCTAGTGAGCTGTGTGAGTGTTTGGTGGTTGCAGCTAGTGAGCTGAATCTTGTGATTGTTTGCTCCTGCTTGGTGGAGAGGAGTGTGTTTGGTTACTAACCCTTTTCTGACTTACTTTTCAGTTTACTGACCGATGTTTGAGTTTTGTTTTGTTTCTTTAAATGGTGATAGTGGCTTTTTTAGTTGAGTTATTAATAGAAACTTTAATAAAACTCTTTAATTTAATCATTTTGCCTCTCTGTCTCCTTTTTCCGACCCGGACACTTTTTGTTACTCTCCCTAATCGCCTGGACCCTTTTAGGGGAACATAACAGCTAGTTCTACAACTCATTTGATGAGAAATCATTAAAATCACAGAAAACACATTACATATACCAGCAGAGGGAGCTGTTTTATATAAATGCTTCAGTGTTAAAGGGCAGCAGTCTAAAGAGGAAAACTGCCTTCGGGTGGTTCTGATTTATATACAAAAGGTAGATACGGGAGATGTGAGTTCTGCTTCCTTTATTTCACTTTGTTAAACAGAATTTCCGTATTTATCCTTTATGCTCATGTACACATTCTTTTATCTTTTTCTCCACAATTATCTCGTAACAAAAACCACAACATCAAATCACACTGTTAACCCACGTGGTTACTTTGTTTTCTGTCTATGAATATACAAAATAACTGCGTTATCGCACAGAGTCCTTTACAAAAACGTTTCTGAGTAGTATCATTAACAATCTGATCAGTTTGCTTTGAATCCTTTTCTATATATCTTAATCAGTAATTAGTTACTGATTACTTTTTTCAAGTAACTTGACCAACACTGCTCCCCACTTATCTGTAAGTGATCATGCACCTGTTCTTGGAGCAACTTCAGTGTTTGCCAGTAATGAGCAAAACAAGGCTTTGAGGAAAAAAATGACACATTCAAAGCCGTTGTGCAAAAGTTTCAAAACAATCTGAAACCAAGCTTGACAGTGACACCTACTGGCCACTTTTGCTATTGTCACATCTTGATAATACTCCCCTGTGAAATAATGATCCATTGCATTGCTAGCAATACAGAATTCTCAAGAATGATTTATTATTATTATTATTATTATTATTATTATTATTATTATTATTATTATTATTATTATTATTATTATTATTATTATTATTAAATATACCAGAGAATCAACAATTGTGATTAATGCATGTTTTGGAGAAATACCCATAAAAACAAGGAAGGAAAAATGCTGAGACTGTTAAAGAAAAGTTGTGACTGTAACATACACGTGTATTCTGGGATCTGGCAGCATATTGTATTGACTAGCAACTAGATGTGAAATAAACAAATTCCCCATGTTTTTCGATATCCCAGGACTGTGGACTTCTCAGTGTCAAGCAGTGTGCACACCCAGAAGTCCTGTACAATTCGTAACTAAAATGATATATTCAAAACAGAAAATACTTGTGATTGGCTATCAATGGAGAGAGGCCATGGTTTAAACTTTAGCCCTCCCTGGTTAGTCCTGTCTGTACCTTGCTGCGGTATCACAAATACAGGAGCACCATCCTCCCATAACCCCCACACATTCCTAAGGCAGCCGCTCCTTGGTTATGCTCTGTGTTAGTGTCAGGGTGTACCAGTCTACCTTCAACACCCCCCTTCACACCAAGGAGTTGCACTGAAACTGCACTGAAATGTGTTTCTAATAGTGTCTCATGTGTAAGTAGGTTTTGCATGGCCGCTTGAAAAACCTCTTCAAAAATAGATAAGGCAAGAAATATATAACTACTACTCAAACATATATAGCAAAACACCTATTATCTAGTTTGCACATAAATCGGACTGGAAACTTGTTGAATAGGGGATTAATCAAAACCTGAGAGTTCAAAGTTCTTCGTAAAGTAAACAAGTGAAAAGAAAAGGTTACATATCCATGTGACTATGAGAAGGGAATTCATACAGGCTAAACTAACTTGCACACACACATAAATACAGACATGCAAAACAACATGGATCAAGAAGCCACATGTATTGAGTAACTGTGGTAGTTCATGATATAGTTTTGGTTTTGGTTGAACTCTGTAAGACCTAGTGGATAAGAAATGGGCATTTTGTTTCTTTATTTCATTCTTATTTGATGGGAATCATAATTTAGTTTTACATTCATTAACGTACATTTGCTCAGCTGCTACACGGTGATTATTGGACTGAACTTTCTCACCCAACTCCGGGCAGCGACAACTATTATGATACACATAACAAATGCCACTTTGAGTGAAAGGACAGGCAGTTACACTTCCATTTTTATTAAAAACACATTTTAAAAAAAGAAAACAAACAACTGCATTGTCTTATTTTTGTTTCTAATAGTTTTATGAATACCACCTTCTCATGGTTCAACTCCACACAGAAAGGGCCTCGGTCACACAGTCGATCTGAAAACAGGACTCTCTTGCTGTGAGGCAACAGTGTTAACCATCATGCTACCCCATATTTCAAAACTGTTATTTCCTGAAACCTTTGGTGTTCCTTTTTCATGTTTATTTCCAAACTGAAAGTCACAGTGACATCTGTGAGATATGTTACCACTATTAGGATCAGCACACAAATGTTTATATTCTTTTTTTTTTTGCCTGTCCTGTTTGGATCTTTAGCCATCAGAATTGTTGTCTGAAGGCTAAGAAAGATGCCAAGCAGATTTACTTTACCAATTGCATCATCATGGCCTTGCCATATTGGTCCATTTGATTGACCTTTATTATAATTATGCATTTATTTGATTTGATATTTGGTTGTTACAGACGGGACAGACATGACTGGGGATAGGAGAGGGAGAAAGAATGAAAGAATGAGAGGGAGAGATGAGATGGTGAGAAAGGGGGGAAGAAAAAAAAAGAAAAACAAACAAAACACCTGGATCACCTGTATGGGGATAAGAAAAAATAGAAGAGAAAACAAACAAAAAAGAGCAACATACTAAATACAACACCATCACAATAAACTAGTTAACAGTAGATAACAGTAGATACTAAATATTGCATGTTATTGTGCAGTACGCAAGATTGACAGCGCACAATGTGCTTTGACGTAGCAGCCAAGAAGGGTGTAGTTTGTGTCTGTGAACACCCGTGTGTACACCTGTGTGCACACGGGTGTGGATCAGCACGCTTGTTTATATTCTAATTTTTCCGTGCCTCTCATGAATCGTAAAATTCCATGAACTCTATGAATCAACATGTCTTTACTTGCGGTCAAGGAAAGTAAATAATCATTAGTGAGCTATAATTATTAGTGATCTGTATGCTTGGGCGGCGGTTTTAATTTTCTAGAGATATTAATTTATGATAACTTAATTTATGATAAGCGACATTTTACTATTCATGACAAAAATTGGTTGTTGTTGTTGTTTTTTTATTTAAGGGCAGCAACAGAAAAGTTGGGACAGGGTAACAAAAGGCTGCAAAGTAAGTCATTCTAAAAAGAAACCGCTTGAGGAAACATTTTGCTACTAATTGGGTTAACTGGCAACAAGTCAGTAACAAGACTGAGACAAGATTACCTTAAATAGGCAGAAGAAGTAAAGATGGGCAAATGAAAAAAAAAGGCTATATCAATAAACTGTGGAATGATCTCAGAAATTACAAAGACTATGAATAAACTTAAAAATGGGCTTTAAAAAAAGTTTTGATTTTTGTGAGCAAAATGCTCTCATGACTCATCGAGTGAAAACTACTAGCCAGCCAATCGGTGACATGCAGTCTGACAACGTCACAATTTAGTACCTGGTCGGATCGCTTGGAACCCCAGCCGAGCAGGTTCTAAAAATGTACCTGGTATCAGGTTCTATGGCCTAATGGAAAAACCTGAAAACCATGGTGAACCATGTCAAGTCAATCTGAGTAGGTACTAATAGAATTGTATTGTACCAGAGTCTACTCTAAATGTTTGTCAGTGACTTTCTGCTCTACTTTGATTGTTGTGTCTTTTTTGTAGTTTTACTTTCCCTGTCATATTGAGTTTGGGTTAGTTTTCATGTCATACTGAATACTGCCTGCTTGTGTTTGACTTTATATTTCTTGGATTGCTTCATATATACACTACCAGTCATTCGTTTGAACAAACTTTCTCATGTAATTCGTTATTTTCACTTTCTACATTGTAGATACACACTGAAGACATTAAATATATGATAAATAAATTGATAAATATGTCTTATATTTTAGATTACTCAAAGCAGCCACTCTTTGCTTTGTTGACAGTGCTGTGAACTCTTGGTCTACTCTCAATGCGCTTCATGATGAACTCCATCAGTTGTGTTGTGCAGAAGTCAGGTTGGTACACAGCTGATAGTCCTAAAATCTATTGAATCCAAAATAATGAATCACAAAATCATAACAAACTCAGCAGCTTTGGTATATATTTTATACTACCATATAATTTAAACTTATTTATGAATACTTGACAAAATGTTTTTAGTTGTTTTTGTGAATAACATTTCGATCAATAACATATTTTTAGCTTAACTGCTTTCCCACTCATATTGTAGGTCTACAGTTTACATTCTGATCACAACACATAAGGTGTTTCCACAAGCAGTTTTACAATTCCTTGCAATGTCATGGAATTATTCCATGACATGAAAAAATACAAGAAGTGGACAGTTGACTTTTAGAGTAAGAAGTAGAGTTAAACAAGACTGCAAAACAGGATGTTGATAGACAGGGAAAAACAGTTTTCATTCTGATTTCTGTTGCTCAATGCTCGATTTTCTTCTGTTATTGGTCCCTTTAGTTATCCACCTCCTCTGCACGTCTTAAAACCATCTCAGCCTCACCCCCTTAACTTTATCTCCAAATCAGTAAACCTGAGCCAACCTAACAACCTCTTCCTTTGAAAACTTTTCCGTACTTCCACACCAGCGGATTCATTAAACACCTTGTTCTTTCTCTGCCCAATTCAGTTGTACTTTCCTAGAGATCTGGTAAGTCTTTCCTTTATGCTTTATAACATTTAAAGACTTTTTATAGGTGGTGACTTTATAGAGGTAATAATTATTCTGTAACCCACATCTGTAACCTAATTCAGTGTGAATGCTCTTGAGTAAAAACAAGGAAAGAAAGAAAGAAACCCATTAGGAATGTAGGTACAATGAGCTGAAAGGTTCATGTTTTACAATCTGTACTGTTTTATAATATATGCCACTGACTGTGGAGATACCTTGGTTTTCCTCAGATTGTTTCATAGCACAGCTGCCTTAGAGCACTGGTTCTCAAGCTGTGGTACACGTACACTGTGGTATGTGAGCTCCCTCTAGTGGTATTAGGATTTGACAAGTGGCATTATCACTTGTCACATCCTGTTTATGACAGTTAAAATAAATAACATTTATATAAGAAATAAAATTGTCTCGTGTGAACTGTATGTGGTGTACTGCTGTACTTTAATGTCGGTCATAAGGGTGGTACTTCAAGAGCCATATATGTCATGAGGTGATACTCATTGTGAAAGGTATGAGAACCACTGCCTTAGAGAGTTAAGAAAGAAACTGGAGGAAAATGGCAAAATAAGATAGTGATACTAAGGCCATGCTGAAGACAATGCAACAGTGCTGTCTCTCATTTTTTCTTTCTCTTTCATTTGTCTGCAAACTTTTGCAAACTTCCGGTGGATCTGCCTTGTTATAAATGGCAAAATACGACCCACAAATTAGTCTCAGTTATAATAACCTGTCAGAGTTTGATGAGGCATTCATCTGCAGAAGATTCTTCAACAACCAACAAGAGAGCTTTACTAAAGGTATGCCGTCTTTGTTACTTTGCTGTTGTACGATTGTAAAATCATCATGTATTTACTTTTAATAGATAAACCTCTGACACTTAAGACTTTCCCAGTTTTTAATTACTAAGTCACTCATGATTAATACATTTTCAAGATTCCGCCCCCAAAAATTCAGTTCCCTGAATATCTATATGCATGCATGAATGGATGGAATATATATTTATACATATATAAAAAAATTAAAAAGAAGGAAATTCATTTTTTACACTATTGCATAACGTAGAAACACTGACTGCTGGGATAGTTATTCACTGGAAGTGTAGTGTTAAATAATCAAATAGGCTAATTTCTTAAAATTAAGTTAAACCACTGAACTTAACAGACAGCATTACTTTCATGAGGGTAGTGACTTTTAAAGTAATTGCCGGTAAGGTTCTTTGCACATTTATAACTTCTTTGACCTCTTTATTCGTCAAAATGTGTTGACTAATACATCTAAACCAAGCTGCAGGCAGACATAAATGTAGGCAGCCAAATATAGCATGGTGCAAGCAGTTAGAGTAACTGCAGAAGTTTGTTATCATCTGTCAGACCTAGAGGTTAAGTAAAGGTCTTTTTCACTGAAGAAAAACAAGCTGTAATTTAATTTGGGGTTTTTTCCAATTCCACTGACATAGTGTTGCTCAACAACTGCACAGTGAGTATTAAAGTCCACATTCTCACCCCAACCCACACAGCCATCATGACCATTATGATGGATGTAATTGCCCAACGTTTAGTACATCAAATGGACAATTAGGTAAACCTGTGATTGGATTGTCAAAAACCCTTTAATAGTTATTTTATTTAGTAAACTGAGAAACTACTTTTCATGGGTCAGTCAACAAGTGGCCAACAAAGCTGAAAAATATCACCTATAATTTAAATGATCTTTTTTAATTGAGCATATTAAGTTTAATTGAGCATATTAAGTTTAATTGAGCATATTAAGTTTAATTGAGCATATTAAATACACATAGTTTAGTCTAGGTTGTATTAATGTGTCACAGTTTGTTCTGATATTCTTCTACTGCA